TCCTTTGATCTCAAGTTGAAAAGGGTAAAGTTGTGGACCTGCAGTTTTGTTTTGTAATACAGGCTGCTGGCTTGGGTTTTTGGACACAGTAGCACAGCTTGCAAGTCCATTGTCCAAACGGACTTCTCTTTATCAGCAGAATCCTTGTCCCTAGATTTCTCTTGCCTCGCTTCATCCTTCTTGGTGACATGTGCGTCGTATGCAGCCTTACTGATATATTTACAAGTTTGAATGAAACACAAACATCACACTGATCTTTTCTTGGAATAAATACGGAGTAGTTCTCCTCATGGAACACAGCTGTGAAAAATTGGATTCCAACAGCTCTCACTCCAGCAGTTGCAGCTGCCTGTCCATATTCACGATGTAGTTGGGAGATGGTTGTGCCTTGGTAAAGGAACTTCTTGTCTTTGTAGGTAGCTGTGCTTCTGCATTAGTGTGAGTCCTCAGTAGTGTGAGGACCCATAGTCTTTGCACTTATTTCTTTACCACTTTTGCTCTTGTATGACATTCCTTTTAGACGTTTCTTCTTGGATTCATTTTGCTTCCATGTTCTTGGACTGAGGTGTTTATTTCTTTTCTTTTTGCCTGCATCTTTTAATTCAACATCCTCATCCTGCTGTTCTAAAGTTGTTGCCACCATAGTTAGGCTGTTTTCATCTTCAGGAGAAGAGGACTCATCACAGGTTGGGGTATAGTCCGGATCTTGAATGACATCATCACCATCATCGCCATCATCATTTGATATAGCCTCTTCTTGGTGCGGATGTGTCTGCTTGGCATCTTTAACTTTATCCATGGGAGTAGATGGTGCATCATTATCAACATACTGCATCATCTCTTTATTGATGGTCTCATTGTCATTCTCAGTAGATTAGGACAGACTGGTGTCATCAATATCAAGTGCACCTCCTACCAAAATGGGAAAAAAAAATATTCAAACCTTTCAAAAATGTGTGATTATTCTGACAAACATGAATTGCCTTTGAGGTCAATTGTATTAAGATACATGGTGGATTCCCAAAATGGTTTGCAAGATGCCTCAAGATACACCAACACAGGCACACTATAACATCAGTAAAATCATTTACGATTACTTATGTTCAACTGAAATTTTCATTAGTTAAAATCAATAAAGAGGGTCCTTTGTGAATTTTTTCTAGACTGTAGATTACATTACATTATTGACAACTTTCTTAGTTAGATGACTCTGGAGGGTCAAGGTCAATGCTGTAGGCAATCCCAGCTGGCTTCAGGCAAAGGCAGGGCACACCCTGGACAGGCCGCCAGTCTATCACAGAGCATTTTTAGCTAGCTTCCTAAACTAAAATTTTCACAAAAGATCTTATGCAATTTTGATAGCCTAGTGTATATTATAGTAAACATCTTCACTTACCAATATGGGAAGAGTCCTGAATCTTGGAAATAGCATCAGCAGCTGTGTAGAATTTTCTTCTCCTTGAATCCGCCATCTTGAAAAACTTCTAAAATTGCCTAAGTCAATTTGTCTGGTGACTTAAGCAAAATAAAACTGCCTAAGTCACACTCTTGACATAGGCAATTATACAAAATGGGTAGAATGGCATGATCTGTTTAATTGAGGATGTAGGCAATTTTACCAGAGGTGGCCACCATCATGAAGAGATGATTTAGGCAAAAAAATCATTTTTGAAAAAAAATGACTTAGGCAATTATTTTAAGAAGGTGACGAAATGTTATATTTTTTCACTTTTTGAGTATTTCTGGGTTGTTTTACGCTCCTTCACCTATAGGTGGAGCTGGCGGAGTTAGTCATAGGCCTGCTGCATTTCAGCTCTGGTTTATCCATTTTATCTTTACTTAAACAGGTATTGTGGATATAATCAGGGGTGAAAGTAGGCGGGTACGGTCGGGTACTGCGGACCCCTAAAAGATTTAGCGGGGGTACCATACCTGCAAGAGAGGGGGGCGGCTGTCTGCTGTAAAGAATCAGTGGGTTCATTGTGCAGCCTGAGTTCAGCCACTACAGGCCCCAATATAGTCGGGCGTACTTCCGCCCGACTATATTGGATTCCGCGGGGATTCGAAGCGGACATGTCCGCGCAAGGATAGATTTTTATGGCCGTTTACTCGGTGTTGCACAGTAAACTGCCTGGTGGAAACAGCTTTCAAATCGAAAACTGTTTCCACCCAGGGTTATATGAGTTCATATTGTTTCAATGTTGAGATCAACATAATAAAAGTCAACATAAAGTTGTCATGGGGACGTGATAGACACGCAAGCGAAAATACTTAACAGCAACAGGCTTTATATATTCAAGCAAATATTGACATGGGGAATTATGCAGAATTATGAGAACAAAAACAAGACATCATCCCAGACTTCTTTATCAGCAGCGGAGCAGAGAGGTGGTCCGATAAGTTCAGTCTGACTTTTTTTTTTCACCAAACAATGGCAAGGAATNCTAAGTCATTTTTTTTCAAAAATGATTTTTTTGCCTAAATCATCTCTTCATGATGGTGGCCACCTCTGGTAAAATTGCCTACATCCTCAATTAAACAGATCATGCCATTCTACCCATTTTGTATAATTGCCTATGTCAAGAGTGTGACTTAGGCAGTTTTATTTTGCTTAAGTCACCAGACAAATTGACTTAGGCAATTTTAGAAGTTTTTCAAGATGGCGGATTCAAGGAGAAGACAATTCTACACAGCTGCTGATGCTATTTCCAAGATTCAGGACTCTTCCCATATTGGTAAGTGAAGATGTTTACTATAATATACACTAAGCTATCAAAATTGCATAAGATCTTTTGTGAAAATTTTAGTTTAGGAAGCTAGCTAAAAATGCTCTGTGATAGACTGGCGACCTGTCCAGGGTGTGCCCTGCCTTTGCCTGTAGCCAGCTGGGATTGCCTCCAGCATTAACCATGACCCTCCAGAGTCATCCAACTAAGAAAGTTGTCAATAATGTAATGTAATCTACAGTCTAGAAAAAATTCACAAAGGACCCTCTTTATTGATTTTAACTAATGAAAATTTCAGTTGAACATACGTAATCGTAAATGATTTTACTGATGTTATAGTGTGCCTGTGTTGGTGTATCTTGAGGCAACTTGCAAACCATTTTGGGAATCCACGATCCACTTGGGTTTGTTGTGGGCTACATATGAGTGGGCATAGGTTTTATCTGGGCAAACTGCATGGGAGCCACATGGTTAGCGTAAGTAAAATGGGACCCATATTGTTGGGCCCTATTCAGCAGTAATGTGGGCTAACTGGGAATGGGACAGAAATAGGCAATGCTCTATGGTACCCGAAAGGGCCCATAGAGCATGGCTCCCATGGGTCTCAGCCAAGCCAGCATGCATGCATGGATGGGTTTTATCTGGGCTAACTGCATGAGGCCCATATGGTTAGCCTAAAATGGGACCCATATTGTTGGGCCCTATTCAGCAGTAATGTGGGCTAACTGGGAATGGGACAGAAATAGGCAATGCTCTATGGTACCCGAAAGGGCCCATAGAGCATGGCTCCCATGGGTCTCAGCCAAGCCAGCATGCATGCATGGATGGGTTTTATCTGGGCTAACTGCATGAGGCCCATATGGTTAGCCTAAAATGGGACCCATATTGTTGGCCCATTTGGGCTAAATGTATGGGCCCTATTCAGCATTAATGTGGGGTAACTGGGAATAGGACAGAAATGGGAACACTATATTGGGCCTAAAAGCTTTTTTGTAAATAAAATAAAGGCATGGTAGTCCATATTTTTAAATCATGTTTGTTTTTATCATGTAAGTGACACTTTAAAGCATTTTGTTCTGTCAGAGTTTGTTTCAATCTGAAACTGTTGTGTGTTGGTCTACAGAGTAGTGTTCAGTACAAGAGTGAAGTTGCCCCCCCATCTTCAAATTAGATGAAATTAGTGTCAAATGTTTGTGCTACGTTTGTGCTGGTTTGTGCAGCAAAAACTTTCGTTTGTGCCGCTATCATTTTAAAGTTATAAAGAAATATTTCTAGAGGTCATCAAAGGTCAACCAGCACCCCCCACCTTCTTCACTCCTCTTCCCTATGTAATGCTAATGGCAGGCCCCAACTATAAAATTCCTGAAGAAATTTAACCAGGACCTGCCAAACTGTGCCCGTCGGTTTGGATCCAGCATTCTTAATGCTAAAAATGAGCATTAATACTAAAGAAAGCTGCAATGTAGTCAATAACCTGTGGAGATTCAGAAACATTTTGACTAAGTTGTACTTGTACCATTCAGTATGTTAAAATTAATGCATAAGCTAAAATTAGCCAAAATGCTAATAATAGCATGAATGCTATCAGTAGCATGAGGGGTATCACTAGCATGCTGTGTGTCATTGACTTACTCCAGTCAGTATACTAAACATGGTTAATAAGTAAGAAAACCATTCTGATGCTAAACATTAGCATCAATGCTAAGCTGAGCTAAATTGTAGTCAATAACCTGTGGAGAGTCAGAAGCATGTTGACTAAGCTGTACTTGTACCATTTAGTATGTTAAAATTAATGCAAAAGCTAAAATTAGCCAAAATGCTAATGTTAGCATGAATGCTATCATGCATGTGGGGCATCTCTGTCATTGACTTACTTCATTCAGTATACTAAACATGGCTAATATGTAAGAAAATTAGCTAAAAGCTAATTTTAGGTTAAATGCTAATGCTAATGCACCAGCTTGCACCAGCCAGTGCCATACCCTGAGAGAAAATACTAATAAAGGCTAATATTATTGTACCGCCTATGGCGGTGCACTTACCTAAGAGGATTATTGTGGCTTTTATTTTGAAATTTTCAGTAAGCTTCATTTGAAATGGCAACATTAATCCCATGTGTAACAGTGGTTTGGTTAAACCAGTTATCTAATGCCCAAAAGAGCTGATGGAAAAAGTTCTCAAGGCTTTTATTTTTGAAAATTTCAATAAGCTTAATTTGAAATGGCCACAATAATTGGGTTAAATCAGTTATAGAATGCTGAAAACACAAGTAGTTCTGAATACCAAAGGTCAACCTAGTAACTGACAGTTCCGCCGCCATGCTGCTCAGGGCTCTGTGTTAAGCAGGAAATAGATAGAACTACAGAGATGGTGTGTTTGAAGTCCTAAGCAGCTCCTCTGCCCTGCTTTGGGTTCTGTTGCTACGGTATTTACGGTATTGCCAAGTGCAGCTGTGAGTGACAGACAGTTCTGCCATGTTGTAGTTCTGACATTCTGCTCAACCCTCTGTGAATAACTGAGTGTTCAGCCACAGTTAGAACTACAATGATGGTGTGTTTGTAGTCCTAAGCAGCTCCTCTGCCCTGCTCTGTGTTCTGTTGCTACAGTAATAGAGCTTTGGAACATGACGTCACTGCTGTAGACGGAGGGACACCAGCGCCATCTTTGGGGTCCTCTCTGTTAAACATAACCAACAAAAACAACAGTCTCGCAGATTTTTTTAATCCAAGTTACTTAAAATAATTTAGCTATGGCACGAACTTGCTGCGTTATTGAATGTAATTTCCGATCACACAACTGAAATGGTAAAAAGATGGAAAACGGACTTTCTTTTCACTATTTTCCTGCTTGGAAACAACGCGAGGAGGCTAAGCTATCGGAGCTAACGAAAAGAAGACGAATGTCCTGGTATCAGTGGTGAGACATTCTGATATCTTCTCCAACATCCCCAGATACCTACAGGTTTCCTCCAGACATTTCCATTCTGGTGAGTATCTAAATTCGCTTTGTTGGTTTTATGTCATATTTTTTGCTATGATTTTGTCCGGGTGTACTCATGTTCAGTTTCTGTTGAATTCATTTAAGTGGGTCAACCTTGTTTCAGTCAGGCCTATATTGTTTATATAGCATAGTCTGAGTTTTGTCAGTGGACATCGAGATTCTTAGATTATTGTGAAGTAAACTATTTGAGTTGTTTTGTGTTATCAGATTTACAGCATTAATACTGATGTGTGTTCTGATATGTGCTCTTAAAGGAAAACCGACGTATGAAATGGATGAGATCAATCCTGACTGGGTTCCAGCACTGAATATGGGTCACTGCGAGGTAAACGCCACAACATCGGACCGACATGCGCGTCAATTAAAGAGGGGATACAGCAAGACCGTGGTGAATCAACAAGTTACAGAGACTGTTTTTATTATTTACCCCAGAAGAGGTAAATAATGAAAACAGTAGAGGAGGCAACAGAAGAGGAGCAAGTTGGAGAGGCTGAGGAAGAAACCCCAGAAGAGGAGCTCAGCAAGGCTGCAGACTCTGAACAGGAACATGAATCATTTGTGTTGAAATACAGTTGGAAGAGGCTGTTTTCTCTCATTTAATAATTTAATGCATTAAACATTCATGAATCGTTTGATTCAAGCACTTCAAGTTGCCTGTAAACAGGTGAAGAAATGAATCACATTTAAAGTAAAAATTGGATATTTCAATATTTCAGGTAATAAACATGCACGTAATGAAAGATTATATTTTTAAATAAATATTTTATTTGATTAAAGTAAACAATTATATAATCAGACATCTGTCGGGACACTGGGTTTTTGGGTTTGTTTTGCTTTTCATTTTATTAAGCTTCATGTTTTAATTCACTTTAGTTTAGCCCTTCATGGACCTTTTGATATTATTAGAGGTATTTAGTGTAGTTAGAATTATATTATTGCTTTTCCTTGTTTGTTTGAGTCCATGTCAAGCCTTCTTTAATGACTATAGTTTAATTCTATTTTATCCCTCTAGTTATTTCTTATTTCAGCCTCCTGGTGAAGTTTTTAGTAATGTTTATTTCTTAATTTGATTACCATAGGTTCAGTTATTCTTCCATGTCTGAGTCTGTCTGTATCTTTCTTTAGTAATTCAAGTTGGGTTATTTCTTTGTTTAGATCTTCTAGTTTCTCTTGCTTTGTGTTCCTTAGTTCTTATTGTTGTTAGATCAGCCTTGTTTCTATTTAGGTTCGGTTAGAGTTTCCCTCATATCTTTCTCTCTTAGTTCATCAGGTTTTCTTTACTCTTAGTGTCTTTTGTATTAGAAGTATTTTTCAGTTCCCTGTTTCCTCCCGTTTGTGTTCCCAGCAGATCTCCTTAGTTTCCCTGTGCTATCTTGTCCCCAGCCCTCAGCCAGCTCCTGTGCCAAATTACTCACACCTGCCATCACTCTTCTCATTTAGGCCATTGTCCCACTACTTAAGCCCCTCTTTTTCAGTCACAACTCGCCAGTCCAATTTGTTACCCTGCTCACCACGATGCCAGTTGTTACCGTTGTTGTCCCTAGTGTCTCCTGTTTCATTGTGTTTTGGATTTCCTTGTTTTCCCTGGATTTTGGATTTAATTTGTTTATTTTGTTAATTAAAATAACATCCACATAAAGTAAGTTTACCGCCTGCTGCTTTGTGTCCACCGCCACACCACATTATGACACAAACCAGATGAAAGAGCCCATCTTTAAACATTTAATGTGTAATTAAACAAAAAAGGTGACACATTTTATCAAATAGATCACACTTTAAGTAAATATTTGTTGTATTTAACATATTCCAGGTAAGTGAACATGTAATGAAATGCAACTTTTAGATTCACCTCTGCTCCAAAACGTCTGAATTCCCTCACCAGCATTCATTCCTCTCTGCAATAGGCTGGAAACGAGGAGTTCATTTGATCCAGGTGTGTTTGAGCAGAGACGCATCTAAAAGTTACAGGATGGTAGCCCTCAAGGACTGGAGTTGATGACCTCTGCCCTAGTTCATACAGTACAAAGCTTAACCTCATGGACTCTGTTCTTCTGTGGACAACAGACTGTTGTTTTGACAGTCAAAAAGGAGTCAAATATGTTTAAAGATCTGTCCCTCTTAAATAAAATGTTATATCAAACCCATGTTGTCATTTTTAACCTTATGCACACAGTTTACCAATGATCTGCCAATAATATAGTGTGTTTAACACCAGTGAAGAAACTTTTAGTGGCATGTTATGATGTAGACTTTTCAGACGTAAAATGTACATAAATCCTTAGCTTTCATTCAATATAAAAACAACACAAATCTGCATGCAGATCCACGTTCAGCTGATGGTTGAATGAACGTTGATTCCTAACTGATTCAATGTAGAATCAACACAAATCTGCATGCAGATCCACGTTCAGATGATGGTTGAATCACCATTGATTCCTAACTTATTCAATATAAAAACAACCCAAATCTGCATGTACACCCACAGTCAAATGAGTGTTGAATCAACGTTGATTCAATGTAGAATCAACACAGATATGCATGCAGATCCACGTTCAGATGATGGTTGAATCACCATTGATTCAATGTAGAATCAACACAAATATGCATGCAGATCCACGTTCAGATGAAGGTTGAATCAACATTGATTCCTAACCTATTAAATGTAGAATCAACATAAATCTGCATGCAGATCCACGTGCAGATGATGGTTGAATCAACGTTGATTCAATGTAGAATAAACACAAATATGCGTGCAGAACGAAGTTCAGATGATGGTTAAATCAACGTTGATTCCTAACTGATTCAATGTAAAATCAACACAAATATGCATGCAGATCCACGTTCAGATGAAGGTTGAATCA